ACGATTGGCACCCGTCGAATAACGCATCTCAGACGTGTGACAATAACTTTCATGAATTTTGAATTATTTTTATGATAGTTTTCTGTAATCAACTTTAATTTTTCGTTCATAAAAATAAATGGATGAATCTACGGAAAATAAATTGTCACCTTCAACAGAAAATCATCAACCGTTCTGCAAGAATTCCTGAAGAAAATGGAAGAGAATGGCGATGTGCAAACGATGGTGAAATTGGAAACGGAATGGAAGGACTACAAGACCTCTCTCGGTACAGTTCTCCTTCATTTTTATCTTTTCCTGAAACTGAAAACTTTTATTCGAAATATTAAAATTATTGTCGAATAATTTTCTCTATTTGTAGGAAAACATTATGATAAAAGCGAGAACAATTTGAGAATGGCAATATTTGAAAGTAACGAAATATTGACAGAAAAGATAAATAGAAAATATAAAAAAGGCTTGCTTACTTATACAACTGCTTTGAATGACTTGGCTGATTTGGTAAGTAAAGTCCAATTTGATAGAAAATGTGATACATTTAGATAAATTGCTTTAACAATTCGTTGGATAACGATTTCGACTGGTAGAAGAATTAATTTTTGTTGAAAATTAATTTACTTTGATGAAAAAATGATGATGATGAATGATGAAATTGATTCTCGTGTAAGATGAAGACGGACTCGGCAGACTTCTGATAGATTCAATCAGTATGACCGAAGCGAAAAATTGCTGAGATGTATTGATTGGAGAGAGAAAGGCATGTTATATGTCATGTATCAGAAATCAAGAATGACCTGCATGTAACTTTCTACGTCTGAATTATTTCTGATAGAAAATACGGTCAAATTCAGAAACCTTATATAGTTCTACTCGGAGTTCTTCGCTGATCGAGGATCTGAAGATTACATGCGTAAGGCATTTCACCAATTAATCCGGTACTAAACGAATCATTAATTAATCTCAGCACATGGGTTGGCGGTGTTTTAACTGCAATGCAACAATGCCATGTGCTATCGCATTGTTTTGGATTGTATCGAATTACATTGATTTAATAGAAGCCGATCCAATCGATGATTTCAGGATAGTTGCCATGCATTTGCTGTAGCTGCTGTCTTGAAAAGTTATGAGATGAGAGTTGGGAACCTTATCGATTTATCCCTGCAAAACACTGTTCACTGGAACCTCGCTAATTGGGTTGTAGCGGAGGCTTCATGTCTACGGTCATTTCTGAAATTTCTTTGTAAATCTATCAGAACTTTTCAGTTTTGATTCCCTTTTATGCATTGAATTAGTGTCATAGAGGTTACGACACTTGTAATGTTGCTAACTATGAATGCGTGCATTTCAATTAAATGAGTCAAATTACACAACACACTTTTATAAACTTATTAAACAATTTAAACTTTAGAGAAATGACCAATTAGTGCGGTGATGTTATCATTTATCGGCGCGTCAGCGATGATAAATGATAACCTTGAAAGAATAACTATTCACGGAAGAAGCTTTCGGTCTTTCCGCGACTAATTTAAACTTCCACAAAAATGCGTTCTTTTTAAGAGAGTGAAGCACATAAAGGTATCAATCATAAGTTCAATGAGAAAGTATTTCGATCAAAAAGTGAAAGTTTCAAACATTTATTTTATGTTTTTGTCCGTTAAGAGTGTTACTCAGTAAAAATACTTTTTCCCCTTTTTTCCGTTGCATCATTGAAAATCTGAAATGAGGATAACGAGTAGGTGACTCGATAGATGCGTGCACACAGCGTCAGATATGAAAGTTGACAGATGTTCGTAGTGCAAGCATTCGAAACGCGAATATGAGTGGAAAGTGTGAACAAACAAACTGTATTCAATAAGTTGTACTCCATTTCGAAGTATCCAAATTGTGGTGAACTTTATTTTCTTAATTCTTAATTGGTAGAATCTTCAAAGATGCAATATTAAATGCAGATTTTATTATCCAATCAAGAGGAAACGAGATGGAAGATGGAAGAATTCAATGGCTGTTGGAAATGTGATCACATTTTCATGGCTGACTCCGCTTATACTGCAAGTAACTCTTTCTTTCCTGAGGTTGCAAGGACGGATGATAATCAGTCTATTCTTTCAATGTTTGCTTAGCAAGACATTATTTGCGACTATCCGTTGTTAGGTTCTTCTACAACTGCGTCATTGCAAAAAGGCACTATTCAATGGAGCTAATGCCTTAATATGCGGAGTAATGCGTTTATTTCAGTGGCACTTGAGGAAGAGTTCAGAGGTTAAGAGACCATGGAATAGTTCCACTGCTTCCTTTTAAATTCGTTGTTCCTTAAAAAAGGATATAATTCTAAATGGGGAAATAATAAAAAGATACTACAATTCAGCCTGAATGAAGCAAAGGACCATTGCCAACTGTCCATTGCCGTTTATCAGAACGATGTGAACCATGCATTTTGGAAGCATATGAAGTAGCAAACATTGTATGATGTCCGATGTTTATTCGTTAACTTTGAGCAATAAGAAAAGTATAGTGGATGTGCACCTCACTGCGACCTGTCACTCCTGTCTCCTCGGAATCTTCGCAACATTACATACCTATATGCATAAATGGTAGGCATGGTTGCCAAGGAGTCCCTGCACCGGCTGGTACCAACTGTCCATCCCTTACCCTCTTTCTCATCCGTTCCTTTTTTCTCCTACGATGAGAGCGAATTGTCCAAAGACTAACCATATCTGCTTCAATCTCCGTCTCTCACTCTCATTCTCCTCCTTTCTCTGCTATTTCATTTCTATAAAAGTTTGGATTGTAAATTGGGGGTGGGTGGATAAGCGTTCCATGCAGAAAGTTTTTTCAATGGATGGCAAAATGTCACAATGAACCATCACCTCTGATCGTTCCGCGTGCTCAACATCGATTTCTACTCCCGCAACCAACCATTCTGACCACTTTCCACGCAGCACAACAACTCCGCTCCTTTGCTTACGTAATTGACGAATTAAAATCAAACTTTACGCCTAATGTACCTCTCCCTTTACGTCATATTACTCACCGATTGAGCAATTCCTGTGTCTGTGTGGGTCTCAGACACGAAAACCTCTCGGCACCGTTTCCTCACATGGAAAGCTAAAAGCACAAATCCCAGGATGGGGATCTTCTGGTGGTCATTCCGCCTTGCTCGGATAAGGCCATTTGTCAGATTTTTAACACCGCGCAACTCTAAGCTCTGGCTGGCCAGATAATTAATGTAATTGCAGCTGGGAATTCTTGAGTGAATGATATCCTATTTTATCACTTTTCAATATTGGTACATTATTAGCTGAACTGAACAGTGCCAACGCTTCTTTTCGTACCATCTTCTCAATTATTAATGGGAATTGAATAAGAGGAAGCGGAAGGGCTGTTTGTTTGTTTGTCATTCATACAAAATAGCACTTTTCCTTACAACAAAACAACCGGTTGCTTTTTTTCAGCTTTGATTGCCGCTTTTGTAGGGAACTGTCGGATAGCTCCTCTCGAAATTTATTATTTATTAATGGCTTTTCTGGACGAAAACAAACTCATAAAAGTTTTTCATCATCGAAAAGTATGCATTAAAAGATTTCGTCGAAAATTCATACCATTTATTAGCGTTATAATAAAGAAATGACTTTTGACTTAGAAGACGCAAATTTGCAGATTATTTTCCAAAATAATGCCAAATTGTTTTCCTCTACCTTTTATGCCATAATTTGAGTAAGCTCATAATTAATGCTAATCAAAGGAATGTATATCGAGAGATGAGGGACATTTTATTCCGAAAATAACTTCGTAGATTATGGGTGAGATGCTCTTTATAATCTCTGCTTACACTATTTCCGTTTTGCATTGTTAGAATGACGTTTTAAAAACCGGTGAACGTATTTTTTGGCGTTAAGAACGGTAATATCACTTTTGAACTCAGGAATGAATTGAATAGTTGTGCATAGTTTGTTGCAAAGCATCGTCAAGTTTAATTAAATCGTTCTCGCTTGCCAGAAATCTCAAGTTTCTTCGCTCTCATCACATGATCAATATTTCGAAGTCTCTTGAAATTAAAATTTGTTAATGGCTATCAAATTTCACTTGGGTTTCAATTATAAATACCGAGGAGTTGAATGTATACATCCTGAAATACTCCTTGAAAATTTTGGACAGTTTCAGGAGCGGAGAAGGATGTTTGATGAAAATTGAAGAAACGGTAGGTATTGTGATGTGTAGAAATGATGGATGATGGTGGTCTGTTCATTATATCTGAGGGATGAGAAAGTGGAGAGACGAAGGGAGGGAGAGAGGAGTGGTTTTGTGTGGAAAAACCGCAAAGTGATAAATAGCCAATTGTTTCGCATTGGAACTAGTAGTAATGACCAGTGACCCTTGAATGTAGATGTGGAATGAGAGTTAGTTGAAAAAAAGCAATTAATTGAATTAAATCATTTGCTGATGACAACCACCACTACTGCTACTACTCAGAAACCACTCATTTCTCTCCTCTTCTTCTATTTCGATTGATTCAATAATACGTTTACAACTGAGTGACACCAACGATAAATTGTCATTGAGTAATTTGGCTTTCGGAAAGTTGGCTCAACACACTGTTCACATTAACTGCGGCGTGGCTCTGTTTTTCCGATCAATAGAGGCCTTGCCAAGTAGTACCTTTACATCGTCTGTCTCATTAACTTAAAACATATCCAAGTAGCTTCAAAATTCAGTTTGTTAAACAAATTGCCCTCACCATAGTGGATGGAGCTGGAAAGAGGAAAACAGTGAAATAATTTTGATTCAGTTCAAATTACGCTCATCTGTTTTATTTGTCAAAATAAAGAACTGTTCCAACATGGAATCGTCGAACGGTCGTTGTAATGAAAAGCTTTTCTGTCTTCTTTTCCCACTTCATTTTCACACTCTCATCACTCGCCATTTCACGTAGCAGTAAATTCTCGTCTTTCCTTCTTATCTTTTCAATTATTTCATTTGTCACATGAAGACGTTGTTCCCGTCTGTTCCTCCAATCTGCTGATCGGTCCACAGAGAGTTGGTTCAGATGAAATAGTTATTCATTACTGATTTCAAAAAACGAGGATAACTTGCAAAAGAAAGTACATAATCCACGGTTCAATAATTCCCGCCATTATGTGCTGATAGTGCTTGCTTTTTTCTGTGCACTAATTATTTTAGCTAATAAATGTGGCACACTTACGGCATTCAGTAAAAGAGGCGGTAATTAATGATAAGCAAATGATGTTAAAAGTTTTTTAAAGACTTAATTTATAATTTAGTAAGCAGCAAACCGTATTAGAAAGATAAAGCAATATCAGGAGTTTAATCAGCTTTGGATGAATTAAGGGTGGATATTAAGAAAAAATTTTCTTACAATATACTTTAATACTTTAAGTTTAATTTAATTAACTTAAAACCCACTCATATTTTAATTCACAGCTATAAATTTTTTCTCTTTCTACTGTTGAATTTGTGTTGAAATTCTTCGTAATTCAAGGAATTCTTAGATTTAATGCAGTTAGGTGCAAATAATAGCAATAAAAATTAGCCACCGAAATAAAGAAGTTTTAATTAGTTAATTAACTGAACTGCTTTTACATAACCTTTTAACTTCAAACTGCGTCCAGAAACTTTTCTTTGCCGAAAATATTGGAAATGTATCTATTGAATTTCAAATCTGATAGTAACCATCTGTCAATCAATTATGCCAATTCGGGAAACTGAAAGCCGAAAAAGTGGTGCAAGTCGCTCACTCTGACCTGAAATTTGTATCCATAAGTTAGTTCAGATGAGTCTAAAGGTCAATAATCAGTTACACCTTCAGAGCAACTTGTTTTTAAAGCCTTCAATTAGCCGATGACAGCTCCAAGGCTCCCAACAGCTCATATTATAACAAGTTAATGAAGTATGTGAGAGAGATAGCGGTGTTATTGGCAGGTACAGGGTGTCACAGAACGTTGCGCCCACTGTTGTCATCGTCGCAAATGAACACATTTGAGAATTTTACTACATTCTCTGGCCTCAATACTTTTTTGAAGAAATCAACATATGGCGAGTAATCGAACCAAACGTTCCACTTATTTTACACGCAGGTGATATAAGCGTGATAACGTGACAACTGCCGGAAATCGGAAATCAAAAGGGAATTAATTTATTTCAGGAGATAATGTGCTGGTCCCGCGGGCTGGAAAGAGAAAGAGAAGATTGGTTTTTGGTTTTGTGACTTTAACCCTTTCTGGTTTTTGTTCCTTAACCAAATGTGACATTTCCCATAAGCGTTCCTCTTTGAAAGCGGAAGGCTGTCCAGTGCATTATGTAACAACCTTGCAACTCTTCATCAGCAATGTGACAATGTCTCGTGAGCACAGCCACACTGATGCCACTCCTGTGCGGTGCCATTTGATTTCCAGACACTTACAACCACCAGCACACCGTTCCAATCTCCTAAACCGTTCGCTCTGTTTCACTCAGGACAGCGATTTTTCAGGCTCATCTCTTCCCTTCCAATGCAAACAAATGATCCTCAAGCTGTTCAGTGGTGGACCACAACTTCCTTTAATCATTTGTTTGCATTTTTTTCGTTACACTTATCTAGCTTTTACAGATTTTGCACTTGCTGACCATAATTACTATTATACGTGCTCTCCCTCTCTCTGTGGTACCTGTGGGTGCAATGATGAAAGTAATTGACTGATAATAGTCTCTCAAGGGTTGAGGTAATTCACAATCAGAATAAACTTTTCCTCAGCACTTTTTGCTTTTTATCCCAATACAATACTCAGGAACAGTTAGTCTCTTGAGAAGTTAATTACTTTCATCTGCAGCCTTTTTTATGCAGCATTGAAATATATCACATATTTATTATGAAATTCCATAGCGAAGAAATAACTGTGCCAATCTTTGGCCTTACTCGCATTTTCTTCTGAAATCCTCCCTTACTTATTTTTTCTTCATTCTCCACAATTTCCCTCATGAAAATTTGATCCCTTTAGCATAACATTTCAATATGTGCAACATCAATGCCATCACTCCTTCCATTATCATTTATAGGTTTCACTTCATTAAAATCTCATTCTTCACTTTTAAAAGAATCACTAATATTATCCGTTAGTCTGTTAAAACACACTCAGTCAACCTGCTTGAAATTGTCTTTTAATTGATAGAATGAAATACACCTTAAGGTGATAAGACAAAGGTAAGTTGAAGTAACAAATAAGTCTTTTATGTAAACAGTAGAATCAAGTCCTTGCTTCTCGAATCACGCAATGCAGAGATGAACACCTTTGTTTGTCTCTTGTCATCTTCTTTATCATTGACATTATCACTTAAATCATCTTGTTATCACCAATTCATAATTATCCCTCTACACAACGCATCTTTTCATTATCACTTTTTTTTCATCATTACCAACTCATATTTTCATATGGGCCTGCATTAATCAGAATTAATTTCACTTACTCGTAAACTAAATTTGGGACTTAGTTTTAGTTAAATATATTTTAACTTTCTTTGTGATTATAGTAATTAAGTGTAATCATTGCTAGATGATGAATATCTTCAAATTGAAATAGAAACAAAATGAGACCAGCTAAATTTTTCTAAAGTATTTCATCAATAATTTGAAGCACTTAATTTTACAGATTGGATTATAGTAATTGCAATGATAATGATGACGAAGGTAATGGTACAGTATGCCACTGTTTTGTAGAACAGTCCAACTACCACAATATCATCTTTAACCTCCTATTGTCACCAAACGTTCCGTACTCCAAAAATAAAACAGATTTAACATTGGTATAACTTTTTATTGTTACACTGCACACCAAGTTAAATTGTTTGAATGAATAATTTAAATTTTATCTAATTTTTTAGTCAGCATAATTTCAATGAGTAATAGATCCTGAAAGTGAGAATTGAAAGGAGAAATCAGAAAACTTCTGATTTCAGAGTGTTTGAAAGAATTTATGACTGAAAGATATCCCCTTAGCAATGATGTATTCTCCTGCGAGAAATGAAAAATTTGATATATTAACCGTCCGAAAAACTGATCGCTTTTCTGGTTGGAGGAGGTGATGTAAATAATGACACTATTGAACTTTCTCTACTTATCGAAGGCTTTTTTCCAAACTAAGCCAGTTGGGCCGATAATGTGGCCGGAGAAGCGCCAAATCACTCATCTCTTCACCATCAGTCTTGAGCAATAGGAACAGTTGCAAGGTGTTCATGCTTTCCGGATTTCATCAATCTCGTGTCGAACCATGAAATTACCAATTTTGTTGCATGCCGATAAAAGAAGGTCGGTCGAAGCAGTTATTTTCAAATTTGCTTTGCTCCTAATTACCGAAGAATCTTACATTTCATTGATTGTAACTAACTAAATTAAAATTTAGATGTTCATTTTTACAAATCGCACGTTTATAACAATTTACAAACGTCAAAACAGTTTCCATATTTTGATTACTTCAAATGCAGGGTTCTTCTGAAAGAGTGAAGAACCTGTAAAACAGCTGGTTAATACTCAATGAGTCAATTACTTGCATAATTATTCCAGCTTCTTTCATATATCATCGGTCAAAACTTACTTGGCTTACTTTCTTTACTCTTATTATTTGTAGAAACCAGTGATACATGTTTATTTCTAGAAGGAAATTTGGTGTCAACCAAATTGAAAGATATTTTTCGCCTTTAATTTCATATGCGGTTAAAAAAGGAAGTGTGGGAATGATCAAATATAAACAAGTTATTTTCGATACAAAAAATAGGTCGGGGTCGTTGGATTAACGTTTGTCGGCATTTCCACCAGTTAAACAAACGCCGTCCCCGCCTTGTTTATTTCTCACTGATCGTTCGTTGGTTCCTCCATTTACAATTTCTACAATTTCCATATTACAAAGTGTTTCGCGAAACCGAACGCACTCCCAACCGCGCGCATCCCTTCCCTTCCCTTCCCTTCCCTTCCCTTCCCGGTATATCCGTCTCAATCCGTCCACCCCTCCATCCTGTCGTGTCACTCTGCGCCGGCATAAATCACTAAGCTGTCACTTCATTTTTCTTCATTCTCTATGTTTTTTTCAACTTAATTCATTAACTCACTGCGAAATATTTCGGTTTGTTGAGCGCAGAACCCAAAAATCTTTCCTTCTTCCGTCTTCTCCGCTGTAATACTACCGTACTCATTTCATTTTTCACCACTTCGAGTACGCTTTGCAGATTTGGAACTGTCATTACAGACATCCATTCAAAGCAATGCATTACATCATCATCATCATCATCATCACAATGACAACCACATAGTTCAAAAACATATAATTTAACTGCCCAGTATATTTGCAAATCATATCCCGATCTGAAATATAAAGAGATATCTACAAGAAGAGATTAGCTCGAAATAATTGATAAGTTCAGTTCTAATAACTAAATTTAGATTGACTGGAATTGTACACAGTGCAGAATCCATAACGAAAGAACATGTTAGCAAAAACATTTAGCTGTTAGCATCACTAATAACACTTTCGACCATATTGATAACTCCTGCCTTGCATGTTTGCTAATTAAATGGAAATTGAAATTTGATTTGAATTGATTGAAAATTGTTATTACAGTACCAAATATATGTATTACTTTTTCGGAACCAATCAAAAGGCCATTCGCACTTTCACATCGCCCCGTCATCACCTTTCCACCTTTTACACTAACGCTATAATATATTGATAGATTGATGGATTTCAAATAAACTTTAGGTAGGATTGTAAATTTCGATCATTTTGCAAATTATTTGACACATGTATGGAAATTTCTCAGTAACTATTTTTTTATTGAATTGAAATATGCAGAAAGTGAAAGAGAGAGAGAGGGAGGAAGGAACGTTTGGATGAGTAATTGCACTGTGATGTAAAGATACTGTGAAATTTAGCAAAATCGAAATATTATCACTTCGTGTTATCAATGTTAGAAGCAACCGATTGGATGAAATTACTCAATTAAGTCAAAAATGCCAAAAAATTGTTTTTGAATTCTTTAGTTTTTCACCTTTTTCTCACTTTCTCAAAAGTGCAAAAAGCTGATATTTACGTTTTTCCTGCAATTTTTCTTTCACATTTTCCACTTTGAGAAACAAACGTTTCCAATAAGTTATTTGTGCGCAGCGAATGAACTGCCTCGAGCAGTCTATTTCGAATTCTTTTCACTTCTCTTGCCTTCAGTCCCCACTGCCTGCTGCGCACATGTCTTGCCCATTGCGCCGAGAGTATGCGCTTTCATGTCTCATCATTTCACAGCTTTTTTTTGATTGCTTGAAATGAATTTCTTTGTGATTTCATAGAATTTGTTGACATTTTTCATCAATTTTATTTCGAATTCTTTCGGATATTAAGCTTTTAAAAAGCACTGATGAAGTAAGCTTTCAATTTCAATTTGCAATTCAAATAATGCTTACATGTGGGCTGTGTGAGGATCTTCTTGAAAGGGACATTCCCATCGAAGTAAGCATTTGTCGAGTAGCGTTCCTTGCCTCGTCAGTCAACAGAGAATAAGAAAATTTGATGAAAAGATGAAAATATATAAATGAAATGAAAATGACTTAATGAAATGAACAGAAATGCTTTTCAATTCTCCAAAACATTTCAATTCAAATGAAATCGGCACGGAATAGAGATGATTATATGTAATTCAAAGTAGAAAGGAAAGATGTGTCATTTTAGCTAATTTCGCATATTCTCCTCCTACCTATCACATTACAAACACTTTTATTCTGCCATTTATTTTTTCATTCTCCACAACTTCTCAACAATGAATTCTTGTTGTTTAAATTTATCTTAAAAGGAGTTTGTTTTTTGCTTGGTTAGAGTTTTTATTAACAAATACCATGTTCATACTCAAATTTCGTACAGAAATACAACATTCAAGAAGGAGTATTTTACTTTCGATATCACTCTTAAATAATTATATTTTTATTCGTCAATGAACTTCTGCTTGAGAAAATAAGCTTTCTTGTGTAAATCAGAAAAAATGGAAAAAATTTTTGTAAGCACTCATTTCGTTTGAGCTGTTATCATTAGAGTTTGTGATGCTGATAATAACTTGATGTAATGTATTTGGTGAGATAAACTTCTCGCACAATCATTTAACTCGGACCACAGAACTTCGAACAATACAGCACTTCCTTTACCTTTTCTGGTCCTTTTCATTTTTAAGTTTTTCGTGAATTATTAAATAACAAATCAAAAACTTTACCAGAAGATTGGGCCAATTCATACTATTTAATTAATCAGGATGAAAAAGAATAATGCATAGAACCAAAAATTGAAGGGCAACGTGAAGCACGTTTAAATGTTAAGCTTTAAATTTCAGAACAAACAAAGAATAGGGTTTATTTTAGTGCAGCTAATAAAATGAGAATTGTTATAATAAAACGCATCTCTGATGAAAGTGTCTTTATCATTATTTCGATCAATAGGCATAACAGCGAATTTCATTATTCGTTCATCTCAATGATTACTGTATAATTCTAAATTGTTCACTGTAAGTAATATTTTTGAAAACATAGAAATACAGGACATAGAGATTTAAATATATTCTACAAAAATGAAAAGTAAGGTAGAGAATTCCAAGGCGTTTGAAAGTTTGGAAGTGATGTCATTTTCTAGCAATTTTTTGCAAATTGGATCCAGAAAAATGGCAGTGATCCAGCAAAAATGTTCAAGCGATAAATTCAAAAACAAGAAATAAAAATAAAAACTGGCAATTGTTTGCGCAACTGTTCGTTGTTTTATCGTGCAAACAAGCCCCCAATCCCTTTTCCCGAACTCCTTTTCTACCGATGAAAACATGCCGTTTTTCAAATACTGGTTGAAAATTTTCATCTTTTATAACAGACAGTCCCGCCCCGAAACGAGAATGATTGAGTTTGTAGTTCGTTATTTATACCAAACATTTTGTCAATGACTGGTAAATGGCGAAGGAATAAAAGATTTTGTTTGTTATTTCTAAAGATTTCATGTGGACAAAAAGTGTTTCGTCTTTTCATTCTTCATCCGTTAAATTTTGTTTACAAACTGCGCCGATTTGCTGAGGAGATTGCGATAGAATGAGGTGTAACCCTATAAATTTGCGGCTGAGGCACTTGCATGCATTTCTTGAGATAAGCCTGTCCTCAGTACTCGATAATTGCGCACCAATATGGATACAATGCGTAATGTGTGTCGCTAATTCAATATGCTTGATAGTAATAAGTTGAGTAAAAAAATGTATTTATCCTCATCTTCGTACGTCAAAATTTTACTACCAGCTTATGAACTGAATTATTTTAAGTGGAATTTTATTCAGATAACCTTCTTCGATTTAGGAAAGAGTGTTGTGATGAGACTGAATGAATCACTTTTTTAATTAAAACTGTGATTAATGATGCGGCGATATTTGAAGTGTGTTGGATGTTTTATTGAAGACCATGCAAAAATGATAAAATTGTGTAGTGATTTTCATGCACTGATACTTACTCAGTTAATGACTATTAATGGCGGTAGCATTAGTGAGTTAAACTAAACTTTTCCAATAAACATTTCTAATACTCTTTTCAAAGCTGAACTCACTCTATTCTAGTCACCCTCGGCTTCTGTTTTTCGCAAAATTTCCAACTGAAAGACCAAAGATTCATGTACTTTACAACTAAAAAATATAAACATATCAATATTTGATTATTGAAAAAACTGCAAACAGGACAATGTACAATATGCACTTAATTTTAAAAAGTAAGAGATGGAAGATATGAAGCGGTGGCGAAATAGAGATTGTCATGTTGTCATGATATCCAACACTGATTATAATGTTTCCCCTTTCCTAAAGAGTTAGCAAAATCACTACTGCCTAATTTGACAATAATTAATTCAACAGGGTTTTTATCTTCTACTCATTCTCAATGTCCTCATAATTACTGTACTTTCCTTCTTTGATAGGCGCTTATCATCAGGACTCTTCTCATATTAATGACGGGCCAAGTGAGAGATGAAAATTTTTCACTTTTTATTGCACGAATTGCTGGTGACATCGCCACGCACTCATTTCTTCACATTGTTTTGGCTTTGTCAACCCATGCCATTATTGCAATTTGGGTAAGCGTGAAAATTTGGAAATTATTGCAAATTGGGTAAGCCCTGAAAATTTGGCAATTGATAACAGAAATTGTTGCAAAAAAATTGAAGAGAAGAAAGGAAAAAATGAATTTGTTCGTGTTTACGTATAACACAGTAATGAAGTTTGTTACTGCTAGCAGAGTGAAAGCTCTCCTTCCCAGAGCCAGTCCACGAATGTTTTTGTGCGGACGGAGAGTTACTTTTCGATTAAAAAGAAAAGTGTACGGACATGTGTGTGTGTGTGTGTGTGTGTGTGTGTGTGTGT